GGAGGCAGCAGCTGCACTCATGTGCAAGCTTGGCTGCCGAATGGAGCTGCTGCAATCCAGCGCTCGTGCAAAGGTCCCCACAGCTCTAAGGAAGAGAGGAGAAGTTAAGACAAAAGAAAAAGAAAGGTCGAATGGGCTGAGGAAATAAGCCAGAAGAAGGAAATCACCCATGCCGAAGATAAAAAAGAGAAATAAAGAACAAGAATTTCTAAGAATGGGTAGGACTCAAAGCCACATACACACTTCCCCCAGCCCATCTGCCCCATCCACCCACCCCTCACCGGGCCACCACGAGAAACTGATCAATCTGCCGGTCTGTGAGAGGGTTGTCCGGGTCCCAGACCTTCATCTCCATCTTCTGTTGGTTCCGATTATCAGATTCCCCTAGGGAAGACAGCAATGGCAGTATGATCAGGACAACAAAAGGGAAAATAACTGGTGTCTTAAAATTCATAATGGCACTTCCTTTCCTCTTCTCCTGCTTGGATTCTATCAGCCACCCCAACTCTCGGATTTCTTGTCCCAACCGTGCCCATCCTTGCCTTTTAAGTTCCTAAGATCCCTTTCTGTCAGGACCCCTGCAGAGAGCCTTGCAGACTGTACTGTATACTCGGCACACCTTTTTGTTTTAAGATTCTATTTATTTACTTAGAAGGCAGAGTGACAGAGAGAGCAAGAGATATTATCTTCCATCTGCTGGTTCACTCGAGTCCCAAATGGTTGCAACAGACAGGTAGGAGCCAGGCAGGAGCCAGGCAGGAGCCAGGAGCCAGGAACTCCATCCTGGTCTCCCACATGAATGGCAGGGGCCCAGGTGCTTGGGTCATCTTCCTCTGCCTTCCCAGGTACATTAGCAGGAAGCTGGACTGGAAGAAGAGCAGCCAGGACTCAAACCTGTACTCTGATAACAGGATGCCAGGTTTGCAAGTGCCAGCCCCTCCAAGGCACCCCATCTGCAGACACTATGGCAACCAAGAGCCCACTGGAGTTAAATAACCAGTAGTCATGCAGTCTCTCTTGTTACTTACCCTCTGCCAGACGATCTGGGATCTCAGCTTGGTATTTGCAACCAACTCTGATTTCCCCCTGATCAGCTAGGAGTGTCTTCTGCACAGGGTCAAACACCAGCGAGTAAAAAAAGCAGTCCTGGAGATGTGGAGACAGAAGGTAAGCAGGGCACCAATCCAGACAGGCGGGGCAATGGAGTACCCTCAGTTCCCAGGACAGGCAGTCTGCCAACCCCATACCTCATCACTGTCCTATTTCCCTCTTGTCTTGTGGGGGCATTACCCTTTCCCTCCCTCTTCTCCCAACGCCTCTTTCTCACCTCCTTTTCCAGGTACTGGCTCAAGATATCTGTTTCGTTCAGGAGGGTTACACTGCACTTCCCCCTAGAGGACAGGGCCAAAAACCTTAGGTGAGTCCCTCCTTCCTGTCCACGGCGTTTCCAGCACACCACCCTCCTCTCCCTCTCCTAAGAGGTGCACACAGGCCACACTGGGCCCCATCATCCTGTACCGTATGTGGGTAGCTGGCAACGACTCAAACTGCCGTGAGAGGAAAAGCTCCCGGTGCTTCAGCTGATGTCGCTGCTGCTCTGATACCCCAGGCTGCTTAGATTCCTCCTCAAACTCCCCTGCAAGGTTAAGGAGGAAGAAACCAAGTCAAACACAAATCCAGAAAGTCACTACCTAGGGAACTCTTACCCAGGGAAAATATTCCCTGGCTCAGCTGTTTTTCTCACATTCTCCCTGCATCTACCTTCTGTTCTCTTATCCCACCAGCATTTCTCTATGCCCTGTTCACAGATGCTCCCAACTCTCATCACTAATGCCTTAAGGAAGGGCTGCTGAGTACGAAGAATGCTGCAGGAAAGCATCCCAAACCCAGCTGCCAATGCTCAGACGTCACTCAGAAAGCAGACACTGCCCACACCAGGCCCATCACACTGTCTGTCTCTTGCTAAACCAGCCTAAGGTCCAGGAACCCAATAAGAGGAAAAAAAAAAAAAAAAAAGTCACAGGTTGTGTTTACCAGTTCCTCTTTTCAGATTTCAGGAGACTCTGCTCTCAAACATCACATGCAACCCTAACTATCCCTCACTTTCTACTTGGCTAATAATAGTTTGTGGGGCTTTCAAGGACAACACCTCTCAAGCCAGTGCCAACACCTCCCTCAAGGAGCTGCAGCCTGCCTTGAAACCTTGGTGAAAAGGGTTAACCTGGCCGGGCGCCAGTCAAAGTGGGAGGGTGCAGGAGAGCCTCAGGCTCAGGCTCATTGGTGCATTGTTCCCGACCTCGGGGAGGGGGGGATGGGGAGGGGTGCAATATGCTCCACCCCTTGCCTGTGTGCTCCGGAAACCCTGTGCTAAGGCAAAGGGGACCACACCCCCCACACCCTTTCTGATTGGACAAGGCCAAGGTCAGCCCCTGCCAGAGGAGGCTGGAAACCCCAAAGGCCCAGGGAACTTGGTAAGCCCAGCTCTCCTCATTAACCCCTTCAAGCCCAGTGCAGCCTTTAAAAAGGAAAATAACTTAGACAAGAGGAAAAGGAAAGAAAACCAAAGCAGGAAAGGAAAAAGAAGCCAAGGAAAAAATGAAGGCAATACATTTTCCAAAAGAAAATGAGAGCTTAAAAGGAAGGAAGATAAGGCAAAAGGAAAAAGGAAAGAAGTAAAATGGAGTGGAGGGGACATGGAAGAGGTGAGAAACAAGAAAAAGTGCAAGAACACTTTCCTGCCATATCCTAACTTCCATTCTCTCCCTTCAATGTGTTCGCACCACCTCGTGATTATAAAGTAAGCCTGCTTCCCTGTTGCACTGGCTTCTCAGTACAATCTCTTCCTTCTCACCTTGACCCTCAGACACCCCTCATTGTCTCAGTGTACTCAAAACTCTACCCCCTCAAAGTGTCCTGCTTCTCTTCCTTATCTCCTATGTAAACACTATCATTTCTGTCTCTCTCTCTCTCACACACACACACACACACACATACACCATAGTCTGGCTTTCCTTATCATGGTCTCTCCACCCTGCTTCCAACCCCAACGTGTAAAAACAGGCCTCCCTCCACAAACCAGGCACTTCCCACCCCCAAAACTCACACCCCTGCTTTGGGCATGCTACCAGGGGAAACACCTGCAGGGACATGCCCAGATGGCAGGAGGAGGGGATGAAGACACTCACTGGCATTACTATCAGCCAGGCTGTTGAGGCTACTAGAAATGTCCCTTCGCCGGAAAAGACAGACAACCTTTGCCTCCACATTTCCATTTGCAGTCTAAGAGAGGGGAAAAAAACGCAGCAGTGAAAATTGGTTATCTGAAAGTGGAAATGCACAGAGCCTAACAACATGGAATAAATTTCTAAGGGACCTAAGTAAAAGAGCTCAAGAAATTATAAGGATTTAATTCAAGGACAGACTTCCAAACCCCTTTCCTTTGCACCCAAGAGACAGATGAGGAAGACTCCCACTAAGCTCTCAATAGCCTGTCCTGTAGGCACCCAATGAATGAATGAATATGAATGAGCACTCAGGTTAGTGGCCTCTCTTCCACCCGAACTTAGAGACCTCAAAGGAGCCCACTTGGGGGATGGGGAGGGGGGTCTATTCCACTCACCTTGTTGAGCTCCTCAATCCGTCTAACCAGGTAAGGATTGCTGGAGGAGTTCTCAAAATAGACGTAATCTGTAGGAGGGGGTGGGGAAGAACGGGAAGATGGGACAGCCAGTCAGGGTAGGAGGAGAGAAAACCGCCCGCGTCGACCAAAAGCGGGTAAGGGTCCAGGCAGAGGAGGCTCGAGTGTGGACAGGGGCAGACTAAGATGCCTCCACCTTGCCGCATCGGATTCTAAATCACACCCTTCGCTCAAAAGTGAGCCTTCAGGAAAAGACAGGCAGCAGTTTCCCCCAACTCAGCGATGGAGTTGCACTCCAGCCCCGGCGAAGTGAACAATTGTTCGCTCCAGCACCCGGCCCCCGCCTTGGCGGAGCGAGGCGCACAATAACGCCCAGGGAGAAGAAACCTCAGGCTGCTCCCCGCAGGTAGCACAGCCGTCGCCGCGGGCCCCCCGCCCCCGGGGCCCCGTCCCTATCCTGTCAGCTCCTTCGGAACCAGTTTCTCAAGCCCACTCCCCGCCCCAGGGGCCCGCGGTGCCGCACTCCGAGTGCCGTCGGGGCTGCCCGCAGCCTCTCCCGACCCCCGGAGCCCGGCCGCGTCGCGGTCCCCGCACCCTCGCTCCCCGGGCTCCCGGTTCCGGTTCCGGTCCGAGCTCCGGTCCACGCCGCCCCAGACGCGGCTCCCTGCGCCGCCGAGTGCCCGGCCCCTCCTGCCCCGGGCCCCGCGCCCCTGCGCCCGGTACTCACCCCCCACCCGGTACATGTTGGCCGCCATGGCCGTTCCCGCCGCCGCCTCCGGCCGCACAAAGGGGTCCGGGAAGCTCGCGGGGACAGGGCTCGGCTCGAGGCGAAGCCCCGAGAGCCGGGCCGGCGCTTTGCGAGAGTCTTCCTGGGGTCCGCGCAGCCGGCGCCTCCGCTGCCTCAGCCGTCGCGGTTCATCCCGGCCCGCGCTGTCGCCGCCGCTGCTGCCGCCTCAAGCCCGGGACGCCGAGGCCGGCGCCGGTCCGCTCGGCTTCTTCCGGAACGAACTCGGCTCCTGCCGGACCGGAGCCAGGCTCCGGCTAGCCGCCCCCCCACCCCCACCCCCGACCTCGACCGGTCCCACCAGACGTTGAGCTCCGCGGGCCCAGGGGAGGCTAGCCCTGCCCGCCTCGGGATTCGCCTTCTTCCGGAACACCTTCGGCTGATCGGAGAACAAGGCCCGGCGCTCGGCTCAGGTCGGAGAGCAAGACCCCACAGATCGGCTACTTCCGGAATGAGCTCGAGTGGCTTCGGCCAACCGCGGCCCGTCCCTCGGTTATTTCCGTTGCAGCTCGGGACCGCCCCCTCCCCGAGGGCGGGGGAGGAGGCGGGCTTAACCCTTCCCTCGCAGGAGTCTGCGGCTCCGCCTGACGTCCCGCAAGGCGCGCGCGCCCTCGCGCTTCGCCGGGCGGTCTGCAAACAGCTTTGCCTACCATTTGCATGAACGGCCTACCGGCGCTTTCCACACTCCTCTTCGCCTCCATCCCACCCCTCGGGGTCCCTAGGGCACCCAGCTGCGCCCCACAAAAGCACAGGGAGGCGACTCTGGTTTTGGTTTATTGCCCCTCAGCAGGCAGCAGGAGTCAGGACCCAGGCTGGGGCGGCCCGGCTCGGCCAGCGGGTCCCTACAGTGTGTGCAGGGGCGATCGCCCCCCGGGGAGATGCGCACTTGGGAATGTCTCGAAGTCGAGGAAAAGGGGCCGGCCAGTCGGTCCTGTCCGGCAGCGATCAGACGTCCAGAGAGGAGGCGGGGGACAGGGACGGGGTCCGGGAGGGCGTGGCGGCCGCCGGCCCCGCGCCCCCAGCGCCCAGCACGCGCCACTGGAAGATGCTGGCGTCCTTGCCGCCTAGTGAGACGAGGTACGAGTCGTCGTGCGTGAACCGGACGCTGGTCACGTGGCTGCCGTGGCCCCCGTACACGCGGCTCGGCGCCTGGCGGGGAGGGGAGGGTGAGCGGCAGCGCCGTCCGGGCCCGCCCTCGCCCGCGCCCCCGGCGCCCCGGGCAGCCTCACCTTGGCGCGCGCGCACGGGTACTGGAAGAGGTGCACTTTGCAGAAGTCATCGGCCACAGCCACCACGCGCTCGTCGTGGGAGCGGCACAGCGAGTTGATGTCGGTCCCATCGGAGCCGTCCGGCCACACGCCTAGCACAGCGACGGCCTCAGCCCGGCCCCCTGCCCGCCACCGCCCAGCGTAGCCCCATCTCTGGCACTCGCTGCCACCAACAACCGGCCGCCTTCCAGGCAGTCCGTCCTGGCCCCGAGGGCGAAGGGGTAGGGGGCCCGTGGGCTGGGTCCGCAGGTTCTCCGAACACCCGCCCGGCGTGCCGAGCCCACAGCGGGCTCCACCTCGTCCCGCTCGGGCCCCCCACCCCTGCTCACCGTACACGTGGAAGCCCAGCACGCAAGTGTAGGTGGCCCATTCCCTGTCTCGGCTCTCATAGCGATTCCTCAGCAGCTTGCAGCCTCCAGCCACGTCCCCTGGGGAGACAGCCGGCCCAGCTCAGCCCACCCTGCCCGCAGCTGGAAACATGCCCGAGAAGGCCAGGATGGTCAGACTGGTTTGAGGTGAGGCTCTGGCATGCGAACTGGTCCCTGTGCTCACTTCCGCCCCGCCCAGGGCAGAAACCCACCCCGGGTGCTCCCCGAGTTCTCCGAAAAGTTCCCGGAGAGCTTAGCAGCACCTCCTGTCTAGATAACTTCTCCACATCTGCCTTGAGAATCGGTTCCGGAACAATCTTTTCCGGGTGCATTTTTCAACTCCTTGTGGGAACAAGTCATGGGGTGAAACTGTGGTGGTTTTCTTACAAATCAGAAAATTTTCCATGTGTGTAATTCTGACGCCACTTCAACCACCTCCACTCCGTATCTAACAGCCCCTCTGCCTGGAGCTCCCCAAGTATTCCCCATTCATCTCAACCAGAAGCCCCTCTCGCTCCCTCGGGCCCCACCCCTTTCACTCACAGTAAAGAATCTCATAGTCTCCGGAATTGGACATGATGAAGTTCCCATCCTTGGACCAGTCAAGGTGGGTGATAAAGCTGGAGTGACCCTGGGAGCAACGGTCAAGAGTTTGCAAATGCAGCCACAACTTCCCATGCCCCTTCGTGCATCAGGCTCCTGTGGGTTTACCTGCCCTGCAACCTCACTCCACCCTCCACCCCAGGGTCCTCACCACACAGCGGCCAAAGCGGCTAGACTTGGCACCATCACTGGAAACGCTATAGATGTAGATCATGTTGTCATGGGAACCCACGGCCAGGTACAACCCATCTGCGAAGAGAGTTGCTCAGAGAGAGGGAAGGGCCAGGGATGGATCTGAGTCCAGGGTGGGGGCGGCTCCCACCTGGGCTGTACCGGACCACCGAGAGTTGCTCGTTGCCATCAGTGACGTCAGAAACGATCTCTCTGGTCTCTGTGTCCAAAACCAACCACCTGAAAGGAAAGGGGGGAGGCCAGAATGTGAGAGGCACCCCTCCCCCCCGCCGAAGCCACCCTGGGCAGAAAGGCTATGATGCAGAAGGGAGGTTATCACATGCTTATGCTGGGAGTGGGAAGGGGCTGGGGCGGATGACAGCTGAGGGGCTCTGATGCTGTCTAGAAAAGAAATCAGAAATTACAGAGCGGGGACCCACTGCACCAGCCTGGTGAGATCAAGGCCGCCACTTCCCTGTGGTGTTTCTCTCCCCTAGGCCCCTCCCTTTCCTGCTGCTTCTGCCACCTCGTCCACTCTCAGGCTTGGAGAAGAGAATGGTTGTGGGAAGGGGTGAAGACAGTTACCACTGAGAGCAAGGCAGGAGGGAGGCCTGGGCTGCAGCGAGAAGCAAAAGGAGATGAGAGGCACAACCCGGCTCCTGAGCGGCGATGGTCACTCTGAGCCACTTACCAGCGGCCCTCCCCAGAATCTCTGAACTCTCCCTCCCAGGCGTCCCGGCCGCCTCTCACCTGCCCGTGTTCAGTCCTACGGCCACAACTGCCCCACTCGGGTGGAAGTCAGCACAGAGTCCAGTCTCCTAGGAGGGGGAGAAGGCAAATTCAGGAAGATGCCCGTCCAGTCTGGGAACCCTGGGAACCAGGACCGATGCCTTGTGGTCTTGACCCTGGCCAGGTCAAAGCCTCCTCTTCCTAAGGAGAGTTTGGGACAAGAGAGGAACAAAAGACCTGGGATGGAGGCAGGGTGTCACCGGACTCTAAACAGGGGGTGGCACTCAAAATATTTAACCATCAGAACTGAGGCTCCCAGCTGTGCTGGAGATTAACCATTTAGCTTGCTGTTCCAAGAGGCCTCAGGGGTGGGGGGAGGGGCAGCAGTGTCCAGGCAGCGGCTTTTACCGATCAGTACAGAAGAGTGTATTTCAGCAGACAGTTCAGAGATGCCAGTGCAAACCGGCTGTCTTGGAGGAGCAGAAGAAAGAGGATGTCAGGGAAGGAATGGAGGCGTGGCCTAGGGTATGTGGCACAAAAGGCTTTACCTTGAGGTCGATGCTCCAGGCCAGCGCATGGCCCTCCCCGTCCCACAGGCAGAGCTGCCGGTCATGGCCACAGGTGAGGAAGCGGTTCTGGGAGGGATGTGTGCAGAGCCCCCAGAGCTCATCCGTGTGGCCCTGCAGCACAGCAGGGGCTGTCACCACTGCCCTGCCCCAGTAACCTCTCCCCTCCCCCTCACCAAGCCCTCTACCCCAACCTGTATGACAGGGGAGAAGCCCTGGGTCAGATCTCCCCTCAGCAATGCATTCTTCGTGGTTCCCACAAGCAGCTCAGAGCCCAGACCTTCAGCAATGGCCCGCACGGCCCCAAAGTGTTCTGGGATCTGCAGAGTGGCGGAAGAATGTCAAGAACCCACTGACTATTCCTCCTGCCTCTCCCTCCCCTGACCCCAGAGCAGCCCTCACCTCGGCCTCCTGGAGGGCCACCAACCCAGGCCCCCACTGCACCAGCCGGCGGTCCCGTCCACCACCACTTAGCACCGTCCCATCTCGCAGCAGACACAGGGCAAAGATGGAGCCTTCGTGAGCATGGGCCTGGGCCACGATCCCGTAGGTCTCTGTTGGCAAAGCCCCGGGGGGAACAGGGATAGCCTGAGCCACCACGGTACAGCGGTAACTTCCGGCTGGCGAGTGCCTACTGAACGCTAGCTACCTCTGATTCTCATGACTGCCAGAGCAGCTGTCATTCTCATTAATTTCCAGAGAGGAAAAGCGAGGCTCCGAGAACTGGGGGGACTTCCTAAAGGCCAGACAGCTAGTGACACAGCTAGAGTTTCTGCCAGATACCTGGCAGCCCCAAAGCCCCAGCCATTCCTTCTGTTAGCTGCCCCTCACCCTTTTAGACCTGCTCCCTGCCAACCCTATACACACCCCTGGAACAAGCAACTCTCAGGGTAAGAAAGGTGAGAAGCCGTCTCCCCTGGCCCAGACCCTTCTAAGGTACTGGACTTCCCAGATGCCATCCCCAACCACATACCTTTGGCCCCTCCCCTGCCTGGGGTCTTGGAGTCTGAGAGGCTCCGTCCCCAGGTGAGAATGTTCCCTTCTGAGTCTCCAGTGAGAATGTCTCCATCCGGGAGGAACACAAAGCAAGAGATAAACTTGGGTTTCTTGTATTTCTAGCCGGGAGAGGACACAGGGAGCAGAGGTCACAGGAAGCACAAAGCCACAAGCAGTTGGGGGCAGAGGGGCACTAGGGTCTGCAGTACTCAGAAAGGGCACTTCCATCTCCTCCCCGCCCCGCCCCCCACCTTCCACTCAGTACGCCTCACCCCAAAGACACCCTGTTTCCGGGCGAGGGTCCCATTTGCAGGAACCCCTGCTGCACCACTCCAGTTCCAGAAGTGGACATGAGATTTCCCACTGGTTACAATGCAGCTGCTGTCACGAGGGCTGAAGCCAACCGCCAGGACTGACTCATTTGTGCTCTGAAGGGAAGAGACCAGATTTAGCCACCCCAAGCCCTGAGCACCCTTGTTCTCCTTGACTGTCTTAAACATGCCTCCTGGCAGCTGGCCAGCGGCAGTCCAGCAACCCTGCCTGGACCCTGGTCCACTTTCTATTCCCCACCACTTAGTCCCTAACGCATCCCTTACAAGGTCAGAACAGCCATGGGCCCTGGTTCACAGAGGAAGAAACCAAGGCTCATGGGCCAGATTTGCCATTGGCAGGTGACCCAGCCAGAAAGGAAGTCAGCGGGTCCCTCTGAGCTCCCTGCCTCACCAACCCACCCCCCGAGCCTCAGAGCCTGTCCAGACCACTTGGACCCTGCACCTTGATCTCAGCCAGTTTCATTCCGCGGCTGCAGTCCCACACCGACAGCATGTGCTCGTTGGAATCATCCACAACACAAAGAAAAGCACCCTGATCCTAAGGATGGGAGAAACACATTGAAAGGGCTGGGTGAGCCCTCGGAGGCCTGGGACCTGTGGCCACTGGGCAGCTCGCCATCACAGGCTGAGAGGGCAGGAGAAGTTGGCACGTGTCCCTCTCTCAGGAAAGCCAGCTGGGTAGGGTTCTGGAGGACCAGACCTTCCAGGACCTCCAAGTGATATGCAACTGTGGGGTGCCCCGGGGCAAAAAGAGGGGTCTGTAAGCCTTGGGGCCAGCTCACCGCAGCGGAGAAGGCCAGGGCCCCCACACCCCTCTCGAAGGCCCCCAGTCCAATCTCCTGCAGCTTCAGCAGCGTCTCTGAGTCCCAGACGTGAACCACAGGCTGCAGGGGCTGGGGGAGGAGACAGGGTCAGGGGTGCGAAAAAGACTGGGTGAGCATTCCGTGCTGCCTGCTTGGTGTTGGACGTCGGCCTTACCTTCCCATCCTTATCCACTCCAGCTGTCTGTCCCGAGGCTACCCGAACGCCATCAGGGTGAACGGCAAGGCTGAGTGAGAGAGGAGACACTCTAGGGAAAGGGGGTCTCTCGAGGCCCACCCAAGACATGCTGCACGACCACTCTTCTCCGCTGCTCCTTGGCACCCTCCCAGACCCTCTTGCTGCCAAGCCCACCAGTCTCCCGCCCCAGGCCCCTCACCAGCGAACGCAGTCCGTGTGTCCCCGGTAATGTCTCTGGCCACCACCTCCAGGACCCCCTGGGCCTCCCCCAGGCCGGTACAGCACCACCACACAGGCGATAAAGTAGACCACCTCCCCGGAGCGCAGCACAAACAGGTTAGAGCGGGAGTCCCGACCCCTATACCCATACCTGGGGCAGGGACCATGGTCAAGGAAAGGGTAGGATGATGGGCAAGGAGAGGAAGAAGGGAGAGGATCAGAGCTTCTGGCTGTGTAACATCAGCAATAGGAGGGGAGGGGAGGATTCAGTGGGCTCCTTGAGAGACGCAAGAGAAGACGTCAAAGAGGGGAGGGAGGGGGTCCCAAGGTGGGAAAGGTGGTTCCCATGGGACTAGAGGGGGCAGGATACACCCAGTCAAGGCTAAGGGTCTCTGGGGGTGGGCCGCTGGGCAGCTCCTCAAGGCTGCGGATGCCAGACGGGATGTACATGGTAATGGGCCGGCCACGAAGGAACATCTTCACTGAGATGCCTTCTACAGAAAAAAAGGGGGGCGTCAACCAGCACCCTGCAGCCCTCCCTTCCAGGACAGCCAGAGCAAAACTCCACCCACCACACCTCACGGGTGCCCCAAAACAGCTCTTGGGACTGCACCCCAAACCCTAACTACCGCCAGCTTAGTTCTTCCCTCTGTACATACCCAAATTGTAATTGCTCCTCCGGGATCCAGGACCCCCAGGGCTGGACAAGGGGTCTTTCCCACCACGGCTGTTGGGACGAGAGAAGAGCATGGGGCCTGGGGCAGGGACTAAGACCCCCATGGAGGAGGGGCGGGACACAAGAAAGGAGGGGCCTCCGGAGACCACAGGCCCCTCTGCGGGCTTTCGTGTGCATCTTGCGTGTCAGGGTCCTGGCATAGGAGGGGACTCTAGTCCCATTTAGGAGATGAGAAGACTGAGGCTGAAGGACTAAGCACCCAGCACAAGGACTCGAAGCTTGTTAAGAGGCAGTGCAGGTGCCAGGCCCTCTCCTCCAGCCCACCAGGCCTCTGGCTATTGGTCTTTTTCCCATTTGTAAAATAGGACCAAAGTGAATCCAGAATGCATACCAGCCCTGCCTTTCTGGGAGGTAAGCAAGAGAGCCCTCCGTTTCAAGGGTAAAGTGACAGATAACTCCAGAGATCACGGGTGATAACCATCAATCACAAGGAGCAGAGATCACTTGGTGACAATATCTCTTTAGAGACTGAGGAAGGATGGGCTTAGGATGAACATTCAGGTGTCCTGAAGCCTGCACACACTACCTCTGGCCACCAACATGTCTCCTGGTCCTCGAAAAGTAAGCAGATCAGTGCTCGGCAGATTTAGGGGGAAGGAGGGCTGAAGCTCTGTGTACAGCCATAGGTGAACATCACGGGAGCTTCTTGGAGTCTTGTAATATGGTGGAAAGGGCGAGGGAACTGGTACCAGGAACAGTTGGGTTCAAATCCTGACTTTAGCTGTGTGACCACAGGCAAATGACTTACCCTCTCTGGGCCTGCTTCCTCAGCTGTGCAATGGACAGCATGACTGACCTACCCACCAGGGATGCTGGGGGCATTGAATGAGGTGGAAGAGGCCCAAGGTTTAGCACAGTGCCTGGGACAGAGCAGGCACTCCAGGAGTGCTGGCTCCTTTCTTCCCCCTGCTCCGCCCAGGGAAGGGAGGTTGAGGGATGTGGAGAGACAACAGCCTGAGCCTGCCGGGAAGAACTGAGGGTAGCCCCGCCCACCTCTCCGTGCTCCCTGACCGCAGTAACAGGTTAGCCGAGGAAGCCGCCTTCCTGGACAGTTTCTGCCGAGGCCGCTCGGAGGGGGAGGAAGACGAGGAAGAGTTTCTCCGGGGCCTGGCAAAAGCATAGTGAGCCGGTCAGGGGCTTTCCCTCTGGACTTTGCTCCCCGAATCTGCCCCCCCTTTCCCAGACACCATTACAGGACACCTACGTGTCAGCGCGTGGTGGGGGCTGCACAGGCCTGAGGATCCCAGGGGGGCCAGGGGAGCCAGCACCACTGCTGCTGCTGCCCCCTCCCTCAGACTGGGTCCAACTGGGCTCCTCGCTGCCTCCCTGAGGGACTGGGGGCCCGTTGCTCAGGCCAGGGGGTCCAGGGGACGGCTCCATCTCCACCTCCATGTCCGTCTGGGTGCCCCGGCTCACCAAGGATGGGCTGCATGTGGGCGGCAGCCCTGGGGGCGCCGCAGGGCTGCTGGGGAGACAGTGAATCACCACCCAGAAGGCGCAAGGCCCCAGGAAGGAGGACAGGTGTGTGCAGATGTGCATACCTGGCCCTTGCAGGAGCTGGTGCACCAGAGCCCTGCAGGGAGCTGGGGGCGCCCTGCAGCCGCAGCAGGCGAAGGGCTTCTGCCAGGGCTGCCTTTACCAACTCCATCTCCTCCTCCTGCACCCGAAGCCTCCGGCTCAAGGACTGCAGGCCCTCCTGAGCAGGGCCCTCACCTGGGCAAGGGGCGAGAGGCACTGAGAATGTTCCACCACCTGGAGAAAGGGTGGAGGGGTGCCGTCCTCCTAGGACTGTACATTTATCCAATAGCACTGCCCTCCTGAAGCAGCCTGGGGCTTGGAGCCTGGTCCAGAGGGGGAGGAGACGGCCGGTAGAGGATCAAGGGCCTCCTCCTGGCAGGGCGGGCAGGAGCCTGGCAAAGCTCCCTTCCTGCTGCCGTCTCAGCCTCCGCAAAGACAGGGAGTACCATGGAGTACCAGGGGAAAATATGGAGTACTGCCGAGGAACGTGGGAGCCGCGGGGAGAGAGAGAGAGAGAGGCGCGGTCCTGCAGGGGGACCGCAGCCCCCCCTCCCCTCCGTCTTTGCACCAGCAAGCGCAGGTCTCCAGCGAAAGCAGAGTAACTGAGCCGGGGTCGCGGGGAGAGGGGAGGGGGCACCACAGCAGAGTCAGATGGAGGACCTCGAGTACAGGGAGTACAGGAAGAGACCCAGAGTGGCAGGAGAGGGTGTCGTGGTGAGCAGGGTGGGAGTGAAGGTCCCAGGGTTAACGGTGGGGCTCCGAAGTAAAAAGACCCAAAACACCAGGAAAAGAGGCCCAGCGTTAACACAGTGGGCAGGGGAAGACCCAGGGCCCCGGTAACACGGGGGGCACAAGGACGTTGGGCAAGTTTGAAATGACAGGAGGAGGACCCAAGCAACCAGGCAGAGCGCCCTGGGCAACCGTGTAGGATGCTCAGAGCCCCTGGGACGCAGGAGCACGCGGGGACGCCACCAGACAGCCGTCGGGCGCCCGACGGGCCAGGCGCTCCGGGAAGGGGCACGCCGCCCGCCCCGCCCCGTACTCACCGGGCCCCGCGGCCCCGTCCATCCGGCCCCCGGGTTGCTCCGAGCGGCGGCGGCGGAGGCGTCTAAGCCGCGGGGGCCATGGCCGGGGAGAGGGGAAGGGGAAGCACCCCGGGACGCGCGCGCTGGGGTGCCGTGCCACCCCCCGGGGGCGCTGTCGGGTGCGGGGAAAGGGCCTGGAGGGGGCGCTGTGGGGCCGGGGCCGCGGTCTCCAGGGCCCGTCCCGGCCTCGGACTCTCCCGGGGCCGCTCTGGGCTCCCGGGGGTGGGGTGGCGGGGCCGTCCCGGGCCCCAGCGCCGCAGCACAAACAGGCGCCGGACGCGGAGCCGCCAGGAAGCGCGGGAGGGGGGGCGGGTCCGGGGGGGGGGCCGGGCCGCCTGGTAACCCCTCCCTGTCCGGACCTCGCCGCGCGGCCCGGGGGCGGGGCCAGAGGCTGACCCCCTCGCCCCTTCCTGGCCTCGGTTCTCCAAGCCCTTCCCGGTCCCCGCCCCCAGATTCCCAGGGGATCGCGGAGGCTGCGCGTGCCCTGAGGTCTCCGCCCCCCAGCCCCTGGCGCCTTAGGGTTGAGCCGACCAAACACCCCACTTCCGCGAGGGGGCAGGGGCGGGGTCACGAAACGGGCCCTCTGCCCGGGGGCGGGGCTTTTCCTAAGGGGGCAAGGCCAAGGCATCCCGAATTGGACCTGGCGGCAGCTTATTAAGGCTAGGGGAGAGAGGATGCCCAGGGTATTGGGGTCAGGGTGGCATTAGCCCAGCTCAAGCCGAGCTAGGCTGACTCAGCGACCTGCTCCGGCCGTCCCCCATCCCCGACAGCCCTGCACTCTCTGGGGCAGACATGGGAGATGGCGCCGGTGCTGCCCCTGGTGCTGCCCCTCCAGCCCCGTATCCGTCTGGCGCAGGGGCTCTGGCTCTTCTCCTGGCTGCTGGCGCTGGCCGGTGGCCTCACTCTCCTCTGTAGCGGGTACCTCCTGATCCAGCTGTGGCACCTTGGCACCTTCCTGGCTCCCTCCTGCCCATTCTCTGCCCTGCCCCAGACTGCTCTGGCGGCGGGCGCGGTGGCTCTGGGCACAGGACTGGGGGGTGCAGGAGCCAGCCGGGCAAGTCTGGATGCAGCTCGATACCCACCCTGGCGGGGGGTCCTGGGCCCGCTGCTGGTGGCTGGCACTGCTGTGGGCGGGGGGCTCCTAGTCTTCGCCCTGGGACTAGCCCTGGGTTTGCCTGGGAGTCTGGATGAGGGGCTGGAGGAGGGCCTGGGGACCGCCTTGGCTCACTACAAGGATACAGAGGTGCCTGGGCACTGTCATGCCAAACGGCTGGTGGATGAGCTGCAGCTGAGGCACCAGTGCTGCGGGCGCCATGGGTACAAGGATTGGTTTGGGGTCCAGTGGGTCAGCAGCCGTTACCTGGACCCCAGTGACCAGGACGTGGTTGAGTGAGTGATTCGTTTCTTTTTTCTCCTCTTTCTCCTCCCCAGAGAGGGCTCCCTCCCCCTGCCCTGAAGCCCCACCTCACCCAGGCAGGCAATAAATAGAGCATAGTGGTTGAGAGGATGGGTCATAGCCCTGACATTTTTCAGCTGTGGAACCCAGGGCATGTTGCCAAACCACTCTGGGCCCATTTCCTAGTCTGTAAAATGAGATAATAGCATCTATCTTATAGTTACCTATCATATAAACTTGTGAAGATAAACTGAGCTATGCATGCCTGGTGCCTAGTAAAGAGTAAATGTTTTTACTACTGGTTTTCTCTCCCCAACCCCTCCGGCCCTCTGCTCCCTCGGCCCCCTCTGTCTCCAGCTGTCCTAACGGCCCTGCCCTGCCTTTGCAGCCGGATCCAGAGCAACGTGGAAGGCCTCTACCTGATTGACGGCGTCCCTTTCTCCTGCTGCAACCCCCACTCACCTCGGCCTTGCCTGCAAAGCCGGCTCTCAGACCCCTATGCCCACCCCCTCTTCGATCCTCGACAACCCAACCTAAACCTCTGGGCCCAAGGGTGCCACGGGGTGCTGTTGGGGCACCTGCAGAGTTTGGCAAGCACACTAGGCAGTATGCTGGCTGTCACCTTCCTGCTCCAGGTGAGTCAGCAAAGTGTCTGGGGCCTCCTATCTGGGACCCAGTGTGGCCTCCAACCTTGATTCTTTCTCCTCGCTTTGCCCACAGGTTTTGGTGCTCCTGGGCCTGCGGTACCTGCAGACAGCGCTGGAGGGGCTGGGAGGGGTCATCGATGGGGAAGGAGAGACGCAGGGCTATCTCTTTCCCGGTGGGCTGAAAGACATGTTGAAAACAGCCTGGCTTCAGGGAGGGGTTGCCCCCAGGCCAGCACCCCAGGAGGCCCCACCAGAAGAGGAGGGTCCACCTGAGGCCTAGTGACCTGGAGCTTGGGGTGTGGGATTGGGGGGGAAGGGATGCAGGAAGGACTGACAAGTCTGGAAACCTCAGACCCCCCACCAAGGCTCCAGGTGTATGTGGGGGGGTGGGGTGGGGGGTGTCTTTGGGATTAAAAGGGTTAAGGAGTCATTGACCTGGACTGAGATGAAAAGGGAAACCGGGTGTCCTAGGGCCCACTGGACCTTATGGCCAGCACCACAGGGAACAGAAAACAGGCTGATGGGAAAGCGACAAGTGTCACGGGAAGACAGGAGGCTACTTCTGGTGCACAGACTCAATAAAGTTCTAGATGGAAGCTGCTGCTCTTTCTCATCAAGGGAGGGTCCCCCCCACCGCCACCCCCCCCCCCAAGAGAACTGATTTCTGCCTCACGGAGAAGCCAGGACTCCAGAGCTTGGACCCCAGCTGGGCCCGTGCAGGAAAAGGTGCCCACATCTGGGAGGATCAGAAAGCGAGAACCGGATGCGCAAAGGAGAGGACAACAGGCGGCCCCTCCAAGTTGAGATTCTTTATTCTGGAGGTAGGAGGAGGGTCTGCATGCTCAGGTGGGGAGGGTCCAGCCCAGCTCCTCTGGCCCCCAGTGCACGCCCAACCCCAATAAGTTACCCAGTCCCTCTGCTGCCCTCCCCCCCGAGTCCGGCTGTCCCTCTGCTCACCCCAGACAAGGCTGACCTGGCTCAACACAAGGGCTGCTTGTCCCCAGCCTGTGGGCAGTGCCACATGGCAGGCTGGGGGAGGGGAGAAGCAGCTGGGCCACACCCTGGGGCCAGAGGCTCTGAGAGGCCAGGACTCAGAAAGCCACATTCCGGGCTGGCCTGGAGCCTAGTCCCACAGGTCTGTTCCTGAAATGAGGTGGTAGCTGGGGTGGGGCCGCCATCACACCTCGATGGCGGGGTCTGAGGCGCGGCCCTGCCGCTGCAGCTGCTCCTCCTGCTTCATCTTGGGCTTCTCTGTGCGTGTGTGCCACACCAGCACCTGTGCCAGGAAGGTTCAGTTAGGGCTGGGCCCACAGAGCCGGGCCTCGGGGGCCCACAAGGTGGAGTGGATTCCCTGACCCCCTCTATGGATGGCAAAATGCGAAGGGCAGGGGGCGGGCAGGCTCTAGTGCCTCTAAAGTGGAGCCCTGTCCCCGCCCCTCTGTCAGCCACAGAGCGTCCAGGACCCTGAGAGACACAGGGGAACACCCTCCCTCCTTGGCTCCCCACTGCCCCTTTGGGAGAGTAAGCAAGGTGACTCGGAGATCGGGGTGGGGGGGCCTCCTAGTCCAAACCCCCCATCCCCAGGGGCCATCCCAGATGTGCCCACTTCCATCCCCTTACCCGAGTGCAGTTGGCAGCCCGGGGCTCCAGGTCCTTGGGATCCACGAGGTGGCTCAGGAGACTGCTCTCCAGGTGGCCCCGGGGAGCAGTAGCATCAAACTGGGCATTGGGCTTCGCCAACAGCAAGGGCAGGGCGACAGCAAATCCCGCCATATCCATGGGGAAGGGCCTGTTGGGCTCCCACGCTGTGTGGAAGCCCACAACCCGGCCATCCTGTACCCGAGGGCCCTCGAATCGCAGGCCGCCCACCAGCCCCACAGGCCACACTGAGACACCACGGGTCCAGCGCATCTAATGGAGGTCAGGAGAGAAAACAGAGGGGGGTGGCCCATAGGGAAGGAGGCAGCAGGAAGAGCCACTTGGGCTCACTCTGCCCCATGCTCCCCACTCCTCACCCAGCAGCCTGCAGCAGCACTGGGAACCATGGTAACGGATGATGCTGGTCCCCAGCTGGCTTTTTCCCCATCCCCATCCCAGCACTCACCTCCTCAAAGAGCTCGCGGCTGTAGGTGTTGTCATCGTCAGCAAAGTACACAACTCCGTGGGTCCCTGGTGGTGGTGGGTCCTTCTCTCCCCCTACAGCACCCCCTTTGCCCCGGAGCCAGTCCAGGGCCTTATTCCGCTGTTCTACACCACGGGGCCGAACCCAGCCTGGCTCGCCCTCCCGAAGCCGCTGGGCCTTGGGGGTGAGGACCGCCAGGTGTGTGAAGAGGAGGCCGGAGGCAGCCAACAGTCCTGAGACCAGTGGGGTGGGGCCCTCGGCGTCCTCCACCAGCAGCCAGTGCAGCCGGGGCACGAGGCTCAGGGTCTGGGACAGCCGCACCAGCTCTGCCTTCTGCACCAGCCTGCAGGGGGAGAGAGGCAGCGCGTGCTCACTGCAGCCCGGACTCACAGCTGCTCCCGGGCATCTCCCGCGGCCTCTCCCCAGCAGCGCCCAAACCCCCTTTCTTGCCAGTCACCTTCGCGCTGATGCTCACCTGCCCTGTTTCTCCAGACCATGTCTGTCACCCACCTCCTGGGTTTGAATCCCTGCTGTGTAACTGATTAGGTCAGCAACCTTGGGAAAATGGCTCATTCTCCCTGGCCTCAGTTTCCTCATGTGTGAAATGGGACTAACAGTACCTTTAAGGATGACATTTTAAAGATCAATTAAGACGGTGACTTTCTAAAGCACAAGTAAACCAGGTTCTTTTGCCTTGTGAGCTGGGTTTCCAGAAAGGAATTTATTTTAGTCAAGCCCCTTGGCTTATTCCACACCAGGCGAAGATTTGAGTTTAGGCACTGGGAAATGGGAGGCGTGGCAGCTTCTGCGTATCTATGTCTCCAGCTCTGCCTGCCAGCCCCAGGTTGGTGGTGTGCACCTAGGAAGGGAGCGCTGTGCAGAGCTGTCTGTGTCTGGACGGCTCTGCCACCTGGGTCCAGAGAGGTGTGTGTGTTAACAGGCCTGTTAGGTGACAGGTACAATACCACATTCCCCTGTAGCTTCTGTCAGCAATAAGGCTTCAGTTTGATTTAAAATGTAGTCAAAACAAATGTAAAGCACTTAACGCCAGCCTGACATGGAAACAACAGCTGGTTGTAACCACTTCTAGACCCTGGTATGACTGCCCGCTTCCTTATTCAGGAATTTTTAAAACTTTTTCACCACAGGATTTCTATGGAGAGAGTTAACTCACTGGCAAGCCCAAAATTTCTTTAAAGCATTATTATTCTCTCCTAAAATTTAGCAGGACCTTTGTATTCTGCTTCAAAGTCTAGCCATATCTCTGTCCTAGAAGAATGAGCATTTTCCCGTAAGTCTTGGGGTGAAGACGTGGGTCACTTAGTCTGTCGTTTGGCATGCTCTACTTTGAGCAACATCCCCCAACCCTGTGCCTCCCCGAACTCGCAGCCCTTCTGGGTGCTCCAGACCCCATACCTGGCGTAGGTGGGGGTAACAACATAGATAGTAGGCAGGGCCTCGGGTTCGGGGGGCTGGGCGGGGACAGGGGGTGGGCGCCGGAGATCTGCTTGCAGCTGGGAGATCCTCAGATCCTTCTGCCGAAGCTGCTCCGCGGCGGCCCGCAGGGGAGGGAGGCAGTCACATGGCTGGCCTGGTCCCAGGAAGCACCAGTCAGGAAAGGGGGTGGGAGCAGAGAATCAGAACATTCAGCATCCCAGGGGACCAGACCCTCACTGAGATCCCCTTACTGCCCCTCTGCTGCCGTGGAAGGCACCGCTTCAACTGGCAGCCTCTCTCCACCTTTCATAAATTCTAAGTTTCATCTGGACACTGAGCAGACAATCTACCTCTGTTCTTTCTGCCTGCTGGTCCTAATTTTGTCTTCTGGATGCCCTTAAACAGGGCAGCCTTTCAAATACCTGAGGCTCATGCGGTGGCACTGTCACTAAGCCCCTGCGTAAGAGGCAGGGTTCAACCTGTCTCCTTGTCTGTGACCAAAGACTCATTAAATTCATCGATGCCATCATTGGATAAATATTTATTGAATGCTCCTCGGGGGAGGCACTGCCTTTGGGGCAAAACAGACGCGGTCTCACCCCTTACGGCGCTTTCAGGTTGGTAAGGGAGGCAGACAGTAAGCAAAGCAGCAAATTAACAAAATCGCTACGGCCATGAAGGGAATACATAGGGTAGAGAATAAAAGGGAATCGGGAAGAGATGACTGTAGCTAGGGTGGTCAGGGGAGGTGACATTCGAGCTAGGATAAGAGGCAACCAGGGAAGACCCGGGACACAAGCACGGACAGAGGGACCTGGTGAAGCTTGCGCGAGCAATCAGCCTGGGGTTTTGGGAGGAGCTGTCAGGAAGGCAGGCCGGCCGGAGCAGAGCAGGGGAGAGGGGAGCAAGTGGGGCTCGAGAGGCGAACGGCGACAGGATCATGCAGGCCTTGCAGGCTCGGCCGAGGTGCGGCGGGGAGCCGCGGTGCGTCCCAGGGAGGGCCAGTGCGCCCGCGGCCGCAGAGGGCCGTCCGTGGGGCCGAGCGGGATGGGTGGACGCACCCCCGCCCCGCCCCGCTCACCGAGCTGCACCAGCGCGTAGAGGAGGCCGGCGATCGACACCAGGAAGTAGGCGAGAAACACGTTCTTCAGCTTCAGCTTCATGGCCGCGCCGCCGCGGGCGCAGGAGCACGGGGGTCCCCGCCCCCGCCGCCAGCCCGCAGGCCCCGCCCCTGCAGCGACCCCGCCCTCCCAGCGCTTCTCCACTGGGCCCGGGAGCGGGGGGCTTGGCCTCGCCGCCCGGGCTCAGCACTTCCGGTCATCTGTGCTGTGCCCCCCGCCACCCGAGTCAATTTCCGGTCTCTCCGCCTAGTTCCGGGAACCGCGGACTGACGTCATATCCGGTGTCAGGGCCGGGGTGGAGGCACGTGGGAGCCACCTCTAGACCCGCCCGCTGGGCGCGGAGTTTAAAGCCGGTCCTCGCACCCAGCCTCCCCTGGTGTTCATTCATCCGCTCGCCAGCCGGGGCACCCACTAGCTTGTTACACAGTGAATGGAATTCGGGGCCTGCCATGTGCCCGGCGGGTACAAGAGCGTCCCAAGAATCCTCGCCGGAATCCTGACATAGTCGGCATCGCCAAGGTTGTAGGTAAGAGGGCGCAGGGGCAGAGACCCTGAACCACTTCGTTTTCTGGAGCTTGGTTTTCAGAGGCTGCTCCGGGATCGCTCGTCCTCACTGCTGGTGCGGGCAGGACCGCCACACACAAGGAAAGCCGCCTCGTGCATGCCACGTATGATGTCTGCTTCCACAGGAAGGCTGCTCCGTTCTCCCTTTGCGTCCTGGCACGCTGCACCTCTGGGAGACACCTGTAGGGAACTCTACCTCCCCACTGTCACAAGCAAACTTTCTTTTGAGCAGCTCCTTGAGGCTGATTATTTGGTGACACCCAAGCAAACAGGCCCCTGTGTCCACTAACAAGATGGGCAAAAATGATGTCATTCCCACGGGGTGGTTTTCTATGCCCCTTCCACATACCTG